TGGGAATAAGGATTACAGAATTTGGAAGAAATTGCAAAACTATCTTGTACACTGGATTGCTTATGACATAACTATATGGGAATAAGGAGTTCAGAATTTGAAAGAAATTACCAAAACTATCTTGTACATTGGATTGCTTGATGTAACAATATGGGAATAAGGATTACAGAATTTGGAAGAGATAACCAAACTTTCTTGTACATTGGATTGAAAGATGTATTTTATAATTTTGGAGTAAGGATTGCAAAATTGGAAGAATTGCAAAACCATTGTAAGAAATACACTTCATGGGAAAGATAATAAAGTAATTGGAAGAATTATGGAACTAAATAATTTTTGAAGAGTGATTTTCAAATTTGCATAGTAAGGAAAGGCAAAAAAGTATGAAGAACAAAGTATGGTCTCAAAGGGATCGAAAATTTGATGTGTTGGGAATGTTTTCTAAAATATTTACTGATGGAGTCGAGGATTCAAGAATAATCTTTGGAGGTGATGTTTATTAAAGATCCTTATTTATGCTGTGAAAGACATGGGTAGTGAGATGTTTGTAGTTTATCACCTTGCTAACCTGTCTTTTGCAGTGTTGTAGGGCCAGCTACTTTAAGTATAGTTGCAGAGGTATCTCATGGTGAAAAGGCTTAAATTTGATCGGATGTGTTATATTTATGAAGAAAATTGGTGTGATTAATGATCTAATAGGACCTTTGTCAGATGAGACAACATGGAATTAACTGAGGAAAAGAGAAAAAAAAGTCCTGCTACTGGCCAAGTGGTTGTTATATATTGATTTCCCTATATCACAGCCTGCTTGGATCAGTAGTATGATCGTATTTTACACCAATCACAGTAAGCCAAATACAACGCCCAACACAGTTCAAAACACTAGAAATGATGAATAGGAGAAATCTTTTGAAAATCAGCATCGTATTGCACCGATTCAAGATTTGAATTAACAAAGGCAGGTAGACGAAAAATTACAATGATTACACAGTCAGGCATGAGAAACAGTGTCTTGAGTTGGAAATAACGCCAGTTGAATTTGATTGTTAAAGCCATCAAAATGACTGTGATATGTTGTAAACAATTCCTATCACAGCCAGCTTTGATGAGCTTTCATAATCTGTAACATGCAGTCCTTTGTATATATGGAAAAACACCCCAGCCTCAAGTTTGTTTATAAGCTGTTACTAAGCTTTAAAGATTGTTGTATTTGATGCAAAGACACAGTCCCATGATTCTGAAATTACAGGAGAAAAGATGGACACTGTACAGGAGAAAAAATGGACACTGGGCTCGCAGAGTGGCTGTGAAATGCTGATGATATATACCCATATCACAGCCAGCTTTGATGAGCCCAGAACCATTTACATGCATCTATTTTGATCCTATTTATTTACACACATGATGGAAGATTTTTTGGCAGTGGAAGGAAAGTATGGAGGGAGAAAAAATAGATTTATACTATTTGGAATGGACATTCACAACAGTCTTTAAATGTCCTAATCTACAGCAGATTTGAGGCCATTCAGCTGGTTTCAGGATTTAAGATTTTGTATGCAGCAGTGGAGGGGATACATTGTCAACGAGGCATCTAAGTGGCTTTGATGTGTAGTGTTATTATCGTATCACAGCCAGCTTTGATGAGCTTGGGGCAATCTGTTAGTCAGCAATAATAAGTAGTATATGTATATGGCACAGGATACCGGCAATATTAGCGTTCTGTTTTGGATGTCATCTATGGCAATGTTCGTGTCATGTATTGGACAGAAGTACTGAATCCTCTATGATTACCTTTGAAGCAAATAATTGATACATGGAAAATATATGGCATAAAGAAGTAAGGGAGTTATGCAGTGGACAGAAATTGGGATAAGTGTTGGCGTCAAAGTGTCTGTGAAATGTAAATTAGGTCATATCACAGCCAGCTTTGATGACAGCAATATTCTCAAATCGTTCATGACAACCTTGGATCTACACAACAACGTACCCAACAATATTTGGTATCTACACAGGGTCAATTACTTTGCTACATTTGGTCATCCGTTATCTGCCGGACAAAATATCAGCTCTCAAAGCAACTACAGGATTTCTATATATAATATTGATTGTATTGAATTTACCATGTTAATCCTTTGTTTAACAGGTATAGTAAGATTTGATGTTACAGTGTTAGAACAATTAATTTATATTAATATCTTGATATTACAGTTGATGAGCAAGATGGCACCTTTACTAGGGAAGGAGATGACAGACAGAGTGTTCCTTAACAGATTCTGTGAAATGTGTACAGACCCCTTGTTTCATGTTAGAAAGGTATGTTTCTACATGGTCAATTTAGAAGATAGGGCAATATAAACAACAAAAAGTCTGTGTTGTAGAATTAAAGGGTACAAGATAGCCTGTATAGTTATATAGTGTTAACTAAATGTGCATTTATAACCGGCCCACTCTTTATGCCTACATGACCTACTTTGTGTGGAATTCAACTGAGTTGAGGCCTGTTGAGTTTAAGATTTTTATCATAGTTTGATTGACATACATGGATTTTAAATTATCAGTCATTTAATTTATTTTGAGATAAATTTAATTGACTTTATTGTTATATGTTGTTTGTTCCATTCCGTCAAGTTTATATGATTATTCCAGGTCTGTGCGGCAAACTTTGGTGACTTTTGTTCAGTTGTTAGTCAAACTAGTGCGGAGCAAAAATTGGTAAGAAGGATTATTTTGAATAAATGAAATAAATATGTACATCGTGCCTCAAAACACTTGCCTCACACCGTTTTAGATTTAAGCCTCTTCGGATTCTGTCATGTGAGAAAACTAACGGAATGTCAGTGGTTCTACTCCGCTGCTCGTATATGCCTAAAATATGGATCTTCCTCCACCAGTAAAGCTTGAAAGTAGACATATGACCTATACTGTGTTGGTCTGATAAAACCCAAAAAGAAGGGAGAGAAGCTTGTAGTCCGTCTGCCGAGATATAACCAGGGCTGGCAAAATCGGATAAGACTAACTTGTAAATTCTTGTCTGAAGTATTCCATAACTTTTCCATATGATATTTATATAGTAATTCTTAAAAATTTCCTCTTGTCTGTACAGGCTTTCAGACAGCCTGGGCAATAAGGACAATTTCTTCGCTCCCAATGACCAAAAAAAGGTGTTATAATGGTATTAAAAACTACCAGGAAAGCAAATTTCAATTAGTTATTCCTTAATGATACATGAAAGACAAAGCTCTTGAAAATAACTTGCATTGATGGCATATCGTAAGTAAAATGTATTATTTTCCAGTTACCAAAGTTTTACTTCCTGTGTGAAGATGGTGTCTGGGGTGTGCGGAAAGCTTGTGCTGAGTGTTTCATGGCTGTCTCATGTACATGTTCTCCAGAAGTACGGAAAGCAGAATTAGCTGCATTGTTTGTTAATCTTCTCTGTGATCAATCTAGATGGGTGAGTTCTCGTTGATTTCTCAGTGCATATTTCTTTGTGCCTATTGATTGTATATCTCATTTGGGGTACAACTGTTTTGCTGCCTTCGGTAGTTTTGCCTGAGATATGTTATCCCATGTCAGACCAGAAAGGAACCAATGTAGTTGGAGGACATCTAGGTTCGATATAGTTGTTTAGTTTTGTCATAAGCAAATGACCATTAGGGAAGGTTAATTAAATGAATTGAATGGCAGAAATAGTTACGAAAAATGGTTGGAATGAGTTTGTTTGTTTTTGTTTCAACAGGTAAGAATGGCAGCTTTCCAGCAGCTTGGTCCATTTATATCAACTTTCGCAGATGCCGATCTTACAGGAATGTATGTAGACGAAGATGGTATGCTAGTTTTTAAGCCTGAAGAAATTAAAGAAAGGTATGTGCATTGTATGGAAGAAGATTGAGACCTTGATGCAGGTTTATTCTGGTCAAAATAATGTAGTCTTCACAATCTTATCTTAACTATTTGTGCATAATATAGTTGCTTTAATATCTGTAGATTACCCATTTGTTACCTATTGAATTTATTGAAATTAAACCTGCTCAGTGCTGTATTTCTTTCTTGAATTGTTCATTTATTTCATGGAGATTAAGATGAAAAAATTTAACTCTCTAACAGAACAAAGCCTAAATTGCCTGCACAGATGGGTGGAAAAAGGTAATCAATATTGGTTGCAGCAAGATAAGAGTAATGGAATTATAAAATTTGGATAGTTGAAAAAACTTTCCACAATTTCTACAATTGCCGCACTGTTGTATTATGAATTCAGAATTTTTAACTTGAATTACTAGGCATCGAAGGAGGAGATGGAAGGTGATGCTGTGGTTTCTGAGATCTTAGACTGTGATAATAGCAAGACACTACCAGACGTAATACCTGCCAATGTCTCAAACACCTCGTCTCAACCTAGCCAAGACTGTGATATAACTGCTAATCTTTTACCAGTGGACATGGACACTGCCGAAGACAGTGAGAAAGAGGTACCTGTGAACATGCAGATGGCTGAAGAAAGTGAGTCGGGTCAAACCGAAAGCTCCGACGATCAGATGATTCATACAGACCTCGGAAAGTCTGTTGAAGAAAAGCGGGCGGAATTTTATGCGGAAATAAATACAGAAAGTCCTGTAGAACCAGATAGTGAAAAACAACCTGAAAGAATAAGTGTATCAACAACAGAAGACAGTAGTTCGGTAGAAGATAATTCTAATCATAATAATGCTAGTATCGAATCAAGTAAAAGCGAAGATAATGTTGTAGGAAGTACTGTAGAATCACCAAAAGTTGTTGATGAAATACGAATTCCATGTGAAAGTTCTGAAGAATCAAGTGACAGTACTGTAACTAGATCAGACGAGTCTGAATCAACAGTTACAGAACCCGAGCCTGCACATATACATTTAGATAGTTCTAGTGATTTTGATACTTTCCAGTATTGGCGAACTCCGATACCTCAGGTAGATGTAGATCCAGCCTTGTTAACGGAGCCTAAATCAAGCAGTGAACCTGTAATGTTGAACCATTATTCAACGAGTGATACGGTGAATGTGTACGATAGTACGAACGGTTTGACTCTAGGCTTGTCTGATAGTCTGAATGATTTAACAGTCTGTGATAATAAGGTAACATCTGTGATGTATGGCTCGTCGGGTGCTATGGAGCACAATTTGCAGGGTACCGGTCAGGGAGAGACTACGATGACTGTGATAGATGGTGTTGTACAAGGTATTTACAGATGGTTTTATCTTTTAGCAAAATGTCTTAACTCTTCAATTCATAGTTAAATTTTTAACCTTTGTGTTCTCTATATTGTCTTAGATGCATCTTAAGTATTAATTATTTGTAACTTTAAATTGAAACATTTTCAAATTTTGTTTGGAATATAATGAAGAAAAAATTTAATTATAATAGATGTGTTTCAAGTTTGTAAATGTATTCTTTGTTAAATACAGTTATAGTTTGTATTATGTCTTTTGTTTCAGTATATAAAATATTAAATTAATTAAACAATGTTTTTTATCATATGCAATTGTTTTAATATAATAATGATACTGTATCAGAATAAAATTTTATTTAAATCATAGTAAATATATAGATACTAACATTTTAACAGAATCTTTTTGTGGTATAACGCAATCACTCCACATTGAAAATTGAGTAAAAATTATGAAGTCTTGCCTTCTGAATTCTAATAGTTGACCAAATCTTTAGAGAACACAAGAATGGTGTCAAATTTAGAAAGATATTTGAAAAACTGCACTTCTGGCAGGGAACTGATATTTCATATCAAAGTTAATTTGATAAAAACTGTTTAAGAAGTAAGGTGCTTTGTGATTGGAGAAATTGTGTTATGTCCATTGGATAATATATATGTGTGTGTGTGCATATAATTTGTTGTGGTGATGTCACGTTTCCAACATATCCCCTGTATTCTGATTTCTGAAACAATATCCGTCTTCCATGGGACATGGCTGGGAACAAATTTGTTGTGGGAACGAAACTTGCACACCGGCGGTTTCAACAGTCAACTAACCATATTGTTTCTGATAAAGAATATTTGAAAGATTTGTCCTTTTTCTTTTCTTAACAACTTTTATCTTTGTAGAGACTCCTATTAACATAGTAGATAATAGGTGATATCCTGAACACTGAAATTCGGGTTTTTTCCAATACAAACAAACTTTACTGTTACAACTTCACATTCACAATAAATGTCGGCCTGTTGCATTTATTGTCAAGAGTTATAACTGTAAAAGCTTGTTTGTATTAGACGGAGAAACCCAAAATATTCTTTATGCCGGAAAAGCCTTATTTATTACATTCTGAAACAAAGAGTTTTATTTTTATCCTATATAATATACAAACTTCCTTCCTACCTTCTAATAGCATTCTGAATAAAGTATTAATACTTCTGAATTTTAACAAAGGATGAATGAAATATATAAAAAAAAAAAACCAGGTTGAAATCGCTGCACCGCCCTCTGGTGATCTAATACTGCACTTTAGGTGTGATACAGAGATGTTAGTCCTTTAAAAGATAAAAAAAAAATGCATGTAATTAATCCACCAGTTAATTTTTCCTAATATGCCAGATGAAATTCTATATTTTACAAGCCTGAAAACTTTGTTGGCTTTTACATTGCCTGGATGTTTTTTATATTAAAATAATATATGACATGGAGTTTAAAGTTGAAAAAGTAAACTGCTTGAAATTATGTCACTGGCATTAATTTACATTTCTGAGGGTTTAAATCTGAGGTTAGAGGTCAGTAACAAGGCATTTGCTTCCAATATATTGTTACAGGGAGATGTAGTTAGACCAACAATTCTCATGGTAACTGCATTCATGAACTTGGGATTTTGATTGCCTTGGATCAGGTCAGCTTTCATTTGCATGCATGCTTTTGTGAAATGTTGTAAACTTGTAGCTAACATCTCTGGCAAAGTCTTCACACCATGCGTGGTGTATACTAACCATTCGTCCCTGGTTTGTTTATTGCAGATTTTAACCTAGACCAAATAGACAGTAATCTACTGCTGTCGTTATTGCCTCTTGCAGATCTTAGCGGGGCTGGCCCCATTTCCTACATGGACAGTGATTTCTCCTCCATGTCACCGACGGCACTCAGGGACTCGCTGATGCTTGATGACGCAACACTTGCTCAACAGCAGGTCAGTATTTGGGACACTGTGTGACAGTCGCATGCCGAAGACATGAATAATGCTTATATGCAAGGTTTCAGGCATTTATCTGAAGTTCTTGGATTGGGGTTCTATTTTTGAAAGCACTTTGTATAAATCCAATTGAAATAATGCCTAATTCAAGGTTTTTTGTCATTTTGAATTTGCACCCATGAAACAATCATTTAAACAGCATACCTCCAGCTATGTGTTAATTTTTTATGAAATCTTAAATAAAGATGGTTGTTCAGTTTATTTAAAACACAACAAACTATGATCAAGCCTGGTCCAAGGCAAGTTTTACATATATACCCTTAACTTGCCATAATATGTAGAAAATTGCCTTAACATGGTTGAATTTTTGGTTATATTTTGAGAAAAACATTTAAGGTGACAACAGACACTTTCCGTGGTAATCACATAAATGTCATTTAAACCAACTTATTTTAGTAATAATTGTTATTTATTTAATCTTTGTGCATTAAATGTCGTTGATCATCATAAAAAATAACATATTTGAAAAAAATGTCTTTGTAAATGATTGATTTTTAATAAAAATCCTAAAATTTTAAATCGCCATATCAAAGTCATTTTTTATTTTTTTGTCATCAAACTTTTGGAAAATAAACATACTTATAATATCTGGGGAACCGTGTCTCAAATTTTGTCTATCTTTTCTCAAAAAAATATTACGTAACGGCAAACATTTTATGCGACTTTTTTCACCATACATATTACGTAATTAAAGATAATTAAGTCGCTGATTGAGCAAACAAAAATCCCTGACACGGTTCCCTCCGTAAATGAATTCCCTTTCATGTGCTTTAAACCGCATGTTAATTGCTTGATTATTAAAAAAGTTATGCCGATTCAAAGTTAGTCCGATCCGCATCAAACGAAGTGTCATAAATTGGCTGTTCTCTCTCGGACCCCTACGTTTCACGCTAAATAATTACATAATACACAAATATCGCACCAGAGAGGGTCACAAGTTGCGGTAACATACACTAACAACATTTTATGACCCAGTGACATCTGACCAATTAAAAAGTTGCTGATTAATATCAGTTTATAACAGAAATTTCTTCACATCTTAACGTGATTTACCGTTAGTCTGGTATCGGTTGCACATATCACGTGACTTTCGGTAAAATTTGAGGCACTCGGTGGGGGGGGGGGGGGAATGGGACGTATTTGTGCACCGCTAGCGGGGTATTTAATTGTTTCACATTTGAAGTTTATTATTATTATCATCAGCATTATTATTATATTATACCAGTGTCACTCTATCTGTGTACTCGTGTATGAAATTCCGTTAAAATATAAATTAAAATAACAAAAAAACTGAGCTTCTGACAGTATTTTAAAGTCCATGGTAGATGTACAAATAAGAACGGGATTTTATATATTTTTTCCTCCAAATTGATATAAATGCTTCACATATTTTAATAGAAATAAAAGGTATCACTCGATCATTATGATCTGACCTTCTTGACTTCTATTATCATGAAAATCATCTATGCACGGCATAGAGATCCAGTTTCTACTGGGATATACAATAAATTCCAAACTTTCTCCCAGGTTTATTAGTACTGTGTTCGATTTACTAGCGAACAATTTATTCAAAGCATTCACTGATAATTATACCCCCACAAACGAAGTTTAGGGGGGGTATATAGGAGTCAGCTTGTCGGTCGGTCGGTCGGTTGGTCGGTCGGTCCGTCCGTCGGTTGGTCCACATCATGGTTTCCGGACGATAACTAGAGTTTGGAATGAGGTATTGTAATCAAACTTGGTATATAGCAACCTTATGTGGAAACTCTGGTTGGTATTGCATATGGACCCCCTGGGGTCAAGGTCAAGGTCACTGTTACTAAAAATAGAAAAATGGTTTCCGGACAATGACTAGAGTTAGGAATGAGATATTGTTATCAAACTTGGCGTATAGCAATATTATATGAAGACCTGGGTTGGTATTGCATTTGGGCCCCCTGGGGTCAAGGTCAAGGTCACCGTTACTAAAAATAGAAAAATGGTTTTTGGACAATAACTTGACTTAGGAATGAGATACTGTTATCAAATTTGGTGTATAGCAAGCTTATATGAAGACCTTGGTTGGTATTGCATTTGGACCCCCTGGGGTCAAGGTCAAGGTCACCGTTACTAAAAATAGAAAAAATGGTTTTTGGACAATAACTTGTCTTAGGAATGAGATACTGTAATCAAACTTGGTGTATAGCAAGCTTATATGAAGACCTTGGTTGGTATTGCATTCGGACTCCCTGGGGTCAAGGTCACTGTTACTAAAAATAGAAAAATGGTTTCCGGACAATAACTACAGTTAGGAATGAGATATTGTTATCAAACTTGGCGTATAGCAAGCTTATATGAAGACCTTGGTTGGTATTGCATTTGGGCCCCCTGGGGTCAAGGTCACCGTTACGAAAAATAGAAAAATGGTTTCCAGACAATAACTTGACCTTAGAATGAGATATTGTAATCAAACTTGGTGTATAGCAAGCTAATATGAAGACCTGGGTTGGTATTGCATTTGGGCCCCCTGGGGTCAAGGTCAAGGTCACCGTTAAGAAAAATAGAAAAATGGTTTCCAGACAATAACTAGAGTTAGGAATGAGATATTGTTATCAAACTTGGTGTATAGCAGGCTTATATGAAGACCTTGGTTGGTATTGCATTTGGGCCCCCTTGGGTCAAGGTCAAGGACACCGTTTAGAAAAATAGAAAAATGGTTTTCGGACAATTATTAGAGTCAGGAATGAGATATTGTTATCAAACTTGGTGTATAGGAAGCTTATATGAAGACCTGGGTTGGTATTGCATTTGGACCCCCTAGGGTCAAGGTCACCGTTACAGTGTTACTAAAAATAGAAAAATGGTTTCCGGACAATAACTAGAGTTAGGAATGAGATATTGTAATCAAACTTGGTGTATAGCAAGCTTATTTCGAGACCCCAGTTGCGATTACAATTAATTGAAATATTTCTTTGTACACAGTTGATAGTTTGTGTTCAAATTTTTCTTCAGACTACTTTTTTTTCAAAAAGTTGCTGGTGGGGGTATTAATCACCTTCAGTGATAGGTCTAGTTTATTTTATTATCTTTTTTTATTGATTCATAGAGAAATAATCATCCTTAGACAACCTAAAATGGTTTAGAAATTTGTCAGGGAGACCTTACCACAAGTCATATAGGCGTTCACATAAAAAATGTTGTCTGTTTTTGTTGTTGTTTTACTTGACATTGTTAGAAAACGAGGTTGAATGTAAAGCAAGCCCTTGAATCCGTAAAAAAGTCCATAAACTCAATGTAATATCTATCAGATTAACGGGACAGACAAATTATTTTCACACATTATGGATATTTTAGCAACTATATTTTTAATCAACCCCGTGGTCGTGCGATTTGTCGCTATGCTTAATTATTTATGTTTCATACATTATGTTACGTACATTGGCCGACAATTTCTTATTTTATAAAAAAGGCTAGAAGGTAAAAGGTAGACGATATTCATAAAAGATGTACGGTATTTGTACGATACATGAATTACGAGTAGTATGGACCAGTATGGACCGGTAATTCACGCATATATGGAACTACCGATTTCCCTCATTGATGCCTCAACAGGGGGCGGAGCGTTATCGATAATTGACAGGTTACGCGATAGCAGATAAAAATAGTACATGTACCGTTTTAAAACGTTTAAAAACACTTTTTTTGGACTAACTGCTTCTAAAATTAAATCTCGAATGTGTTCAGAAAAGGTTGATAAATATACTAAGCAAAAAATCTCATTTTAGGTATTTTCAGTGATAATTGACTCCGTTGTCACCTTAAAGATTCAGTTGAATATAGATTTTGAATATTTGTATGTTAATAAAACTGGAGGTATTTTGATTTGAATGCTCGCATTATAAGTTCCCTTTTATAGTGGTGTGAAATTTCCTTTAGTGGGGCAGTGTCAACTGTCAAGCAAAGACTATTTTGTAGCATTTTGAGTGTACTTCTGGAAACGAATAAAGTGATGAAACCCAAAAGGAATTTATGAAATTGGAGAAGCGTTTTTTTCCATTGTGAATATCTTTCAGTGATAATATTGGAAAAATAGTCTAAAATGAATATTTCTCATCTTTTTATCTGTATTTTGGCTAGAAATTTGTGATTTTATTTAACATTCATCTAACACTATAATAGATTAAGTACATTAGCTGTAGTAATAGTAAATAGTTGAAATGATGTGTGTATAGCTAAAAAGTTGAACTGCTCCCTTTCACGGTGATTATCTTCCTCTTCTTTTGAAACTAAGGCTTCGTCAGATTAGGAAATTTGGGGGGGGGGGATAAGATTAATATCTAAATTATGAAGTTTTATAATGGGATTATGGACACTATGCCATTTGAAAACAAGGAGGGTGGGGGATTACTGTTGAATTGTAGCTTTAGCTAGAAGTAGATTTTTACCGTAAGTTATTTTAAAGAAACAATATATAAGTTAATTAATGCTGGCTGCAGGATATGGGCCAGAATATTTATAGCACTTGCTGGACCGGTTGTAGAGCTCACATCAGCGTCCACTTATCAAACTGAAGTTACACAACTGCCATACAGAGCAGAAACTACAATGTACATTATTTACAATTTTGCACCCACACCTTAAAAAAATTATGATGAAATGTCATTTAAGGCCTAAAAAAAAAATGTTGTGTTTCCGGTGGCCCGACCGACCCTATTTTTTAGCGCCGACCCAAAGTTTTTTATCGATGTACAAAAAAAAAATGGCGACCGTACCGAAGACTGGTTTTAGTATTGCGAGTCGACAACGATGTGAGGCACAGACGATTCGTGTTCCAATTACGTATTAACGCGCACCGGCTAATATGGCGGCACAACAAGCAGCCGAAGTGTCACTGCTGGCGATTTTCTTTAAAAATACAATCATAGTTTGGCAAAACAGGAAATCAAATTAATAGACCACAGCAAAACAGCTCAAAACATTTTTCGGACGTGCATGGTCATTTTAAGAGTGATAATATTAAAATTGAAGCCAGTTGTTCGGTATAAAGAATAAAAAAAATGAAAACGAAAGTCGAGTCATGCCATTGGTAAAATTTATTTCAAAATATAAGATTGAAGACTAGGTTTGGTAGTCTAACATTTTTAAGTACTTTTATATGCTATAGAATATAATTTAAAGTCCATATAATCCGTATCTGACCTACCGACCCTCCTTTTTTTCGCCTCGCCACCAGAAACACATCAATTTTTTTTTTTAGGCCTAAGCCATAACCTGCTATATTTCTATAATGGATCTGTCCAGCTTTGAATTTGAAACAGTCTATTCAAAGTTCAAGGGATTTCAATGTCAAAATACAAAAATTGAGTTGCCAACAGTATAGAGCCTGGTCATGGATGTGCAGGCTGTACTGGTGGCAAAGGCTGATCACTTTTGGTTCCAGCAGGTTATGGGTTAAAACCCACCAAAACTTTCTAAAATTGATCAGACAGTTTTACAAGTGTATACAGTTCCTGACAACATTTTGCATACCTGACCTTCTATGGTGTTTGGAGTTATCAGGATAAAGTTAAGAGTTTTGATACAGAATAAATGATACTTTTATAATACCAATAAAATTGTTATAACAAGCCGATGAAAGTGCCTGTAATGTACAGGGGCAGCAAAAACATTTGCCCATATATAATCCCAAGTTGTCCCATATCTTGAACAACCAAGTGAATTTTTTTCAGAATTAACTTTAAAAATATAAATAGCATAAGGACAAGTAAAGAGATGCTTCAGCTAAAACGGACAAGTTCTAACCAGTTATTGCTGACCCTAATGTAGACAAATAAAATATTTCATATTGGAAAAGAAATTAAAATTTCTCACAATTGTTTTGTATAATGTGAAACACATCAAATATGTGTATGTATTAAATTACAGGACATTGTACCTCAAAGTTTGCTAGAGAATTACCTCGGGATGATAGACCCGTCGCGGGCACAGACTGTGGACACTGAGATTACCAAATATTGCGCCTACAATCTGCCGGCAGTGGCCTATACACTTGGCAGGGAAAACTGGCCTTGTATTAAAAACTTATATGAAACATTAGCTGCTGATATGCAAGTAAGTTCTTCTTCTTTGCCGTATAAAGCCATGAGCTCAAGCTATGTTTTTATATTTATACCCCCGCACAACAAAGTTGTAAGGGGGGTATACTGGAATCAGCTTGTCCGTCCGGCCGTCCGTCCGTCGGTTTTTTCTTGTCCGCCCAATAACTTAAGATTCCTTTGACCCTTAGTCTTCATATTTGGCATGGAGGTTAGTCATGATTAGTAGATGACCCCTATTGATTTTGAGGTCACTAGGTCAAAGGTCAAGGTCACAGGGGCCTTGACTTCAAAAAGCTTGTCCGCCCAATAACTTAAGATTCCTTTGACCCACAGTCTTCATATTTGGCATGGAGGTTAGTCATGATAAGTAGATGACCCCTATTGATTTTGAGGTCACTAGGTCAAAGGTCAAGGTCACAGGGGCCTTGACTTCAAAAAGCTTGTCCGCCCAATAATTTAAGATTCCTTTGACCCTTAGTCTTCATATTTGGCATGGAGGTTAGTCATGATTAGTAGATGACCCCTATTGATTTTGAGGTCACTAGGTCAAAGGTCAAGGTCACAGGGGCCTTGACTTCAAAAAGCTTGTCCGCCCAATAACTTAAGATTCCTTTGACCCACAGTCTTCATATTTGGCATGGAGGTTAGTCATGATTAGTAGATGACCCCTATTGACTTTGAGGTCACCAGGTCAAAGGTCAAGGTCACAGGGGCCTTGACTTCAGAAAGCTTGTCCGCCCTATAACTTAAGATTCCTTTGACCCACAGTCTTCATATTTGGCATGGAGGTTAGTCATGATTAGTAGATGACCCCTATTGATTTTGAGGTCACCAGGTCAAAGGTCAAGGTCACAGGGGCCTTGACTTCAAAAAGCTTGTCCGCCCAATAACTTAAGATTCCTTTGACCCACAGTCTTCATATTTGGAATGGAGGTTAGTCATGATTAGTAGATGACCCCTATTGTTTTTGAGGTCACCAGGTCAAAGGTCAAGGTCACAGGGACTTTGACTTCAAAAAGTTTGTCTGCCCAATAACTTTAGATTCCTTTGACCCACAGTCTTTATATTGGCATGGATGTTGATCATGATTAGTAGATGACCCCTTTTGATTTTGAGGTCACTGGATCAAAGGTCAAGGTCATAGGGACTTTGACTTCAAAAAGTTTGTCCACCCATTAACTTAAGATTCCTTTGACCCACAGTCTTCATATTTGGCATGGATGTTGATCATGACTATAAGGTGACCCCTATTGATTTTGAGGTCACTGGGTCAAAGGTCAAGGTCACAGGGACCTTGACAAAAAAAAGCTTTTCTTCTCAATTGCTAAAGAATGTCCTGTCCGCAATGTATTGATTTTGACATTTTCACATTTGAAGCATGTAGAATACATAACTTAGCAATGCACTGGCTTAGTAACCTCAGATTTGGCAGGGAGGTTGTCCTTGAGCTCTAAATGGCCACTGTTGATTCTGACAAAGTGGTATGCGGGGGTATTCACGCCATGATAGTGGCAGTTCTAGTTTAAATGGGTATAAATCTGTAAAACTATATATCTGTAGTCAGTAGAATGATTCTATCAGAATATATGTAATGAAAGAAAATAATCGTTTTTAAAAAAATTGCTAGCTAGATCTACCTCAATAAGTAGTTGAGTATATCATACAAATTGAACGCACAATTTTTAACAAATTTATTTCGCTTTTAATAAGGGCTTTACAGGCTTTTAACCGTAGAAGATATATCTATAATGAACTACATACTTAAGTCTATTAATTATACCCCCGCACAACAAAGTTGTAAGGGGGGTATACTGGAATCAGGTTGTCCGTCCGTCCGGCCGTCCGTCCGTCGGTTTTTTCTTGTCCGCCCAATAACTTAAGATTCCTTTGACCCTTAGTCTTCATATTTGGCATGGAGGTTAGTCATGATTAGTAGATGACCCCTATTGATTTTGAGGTCACCAGGTCAAAGGTCAAGGTCACAGGGGCCTTGACTTCAAAAAGCTTGTCCGCCCAATAACTTAAGATTCCTTTGACCTACAGTCTTCATATTTGGCATGGAGGTTAGTCATGATTAGTAGATTACCCCTATCGATTTTGAGGTCACCAGGTCAAAGGTCAAGGTCACAGGGGCCGTGACTTCAAAAAGCTTGTCCACTCAATAACTTAAGATTCCTTTGACCCACAGTCTTCATATTTGGCATGGAGGTTAGTCATGATTAGAAGATGACCCCTATTGACTTTGAGGTCATCAGGTCAAAGGTCAAGGTCACAGGGGCTGTGACTTCAAAAAGCTTGTCCACTCAATAACTTAAGATTCCTTTGACCCACAGTCTTCATATTTGGCATGGAGGTTAGTCATGATTAGTAGATTACCCCTATTGATTTTGAGGTCACCAGGTCAAAGGTCAAGGTCACAGGGGCTTTGACTAAAAAAAAGCTTGTCTGCCCAATAACTTAAGATTGCTTTGACCCACAGTCTTCATATTTGGCATGGAGGTTAGTCATGATTAGTAGATGACCCCTATTGACTTTGCGGTCACCAGGTCAAAGGTCAAGGTCACAGGGGCCTTGACCATAAAAAGCTTGTCTGTCCAATAACTTTAGATTCCTTTGACCCACAGTCTTCATATTTTGAATGGAGGTTAGTCATGATTAGTAGATGACCCCTTTTGATTTTGAGGTCACTGGATCAAAGGTCAAGGTCACAGGGACTTTGACTTCAAAAAGTTTGTCTACCCATTAACTTAAGATTCCTTTGACCCACAGTCTTCATATTTGGCATGGATATTGATCATGACCATAAGGTGACCCCTATTGATTTTGAGGTCACTGGGTCAAAGGTCAAGGTCACAGGGACCTTGACAAAAAAAGCTTTTCTTCTCAATTGCTAAAGAATGCCTGTCCGCAGTGTATTGATTTTGACATTTTCACATTTGAAGCATGTAGAATACATAATTTAGCAATGCACTGGCTTAGTAACCTCAGATTTGGCAGGGAGGTTGTCCTTGAGCTCTAAATGGCCACTGTTGATTCTGACAAAGTGGTATGCGGGGGTATTCACGCCATGATAGTGGCAGTTCTAGTTAATACAGTGTAACTTCCGAAAACCGAACACCCATGGGACTTGTCAAAAAGTTCGGATTTCAGAGGTTTCCGGAATTCAGAGGTTTATGATAATGCGGACAAGACTAAGCCACTTAATATCACTAAATGTCAAGGAAGAAGTGGCCTTTACTGTAATAGCATATATAATAGTCTTTTAATCAAGATAAAGATGTGAATGAAAAGAATACATTTTTATCTTACTTGCAAATGCTTTTGAATTTCTATCAGTTTGTAGAAATGTTGTTAATTGCATAAACTTACATGTCGTCCGGTGCTAGTTAATTAATTATTACATCAAATGCAATAAAATCCCTAAAGACTTTTGATGCATACATTGTCCAATTAATTGTCATTTAATCCGCTAATAAACACTTCAAATTAACTGACCGCCGTAAATTACTTTGATTAACCGCATCACTTCAAACATACCATTTCACAGTTTGTGATTTTAACGCGTGTCAAATTACACGATCACCGCTAATTAGTAAACAATCGATAGGGAGATTAAATCTTCCTGAAGGGTTTACAATGTATTTCACACCTTTGGATATTTCCGGTTTTTGGAGGTAAAATTGCATTGATTTGACTCTAATTTTACGAAAATATCGTCCGGAATTCAGAATTTAGAAGTTCCGGAATTCAGAAGTATTTTATTAATAGAAAATAGAAGGGAAAAAAACGGGACCGAAACAATTGTTCGGTTTTTAGAAGTTTCCGGATTTCAGAAGTTCCGGAATTCGGAAGTTACACTGTATGAGGTGTGCCTGTTCATGCCTGAAATAATGCAAGGAAGAACAATTGGGACCGTTTTCTACATTAGTAAAGTAAGAAAGTTCCTGTTTGAATTTGGAAGTGAATATTGACCCATAAAAACCAACCTTTGATATGATTTGCAACTCTTGTTTCCCTATTTTCAGTGGAAGGTGCGAAGAACCCTGGCCTTTTCTATACATGAATTAGCTGTGATACTAGGGGAAGATATTACACATCGAGATCTTGTTCCAGTGTTTGATGGTTTTCTCAAAGACTTAGACGAAGTCAGAATTGGAATTCTGCGACATCTTGCTGACTTTCTACGGGTAATTATATTTGACATAAACCTGAAACTTGATTTTTATAGCCGTTAGGATTCCACCAGCAAAGCTGGAACGTCTTCCATATGACCTATACGGTGTAAGTGTGACGTATCTCAATCAAACTAACAGAAATTATGTGGGATAAGTAGTCTTACTATTGGAAATAAATCGATAATTACTTAATACTAATAAATACCGTCCACTGGGGATATGACCTAAAATGTGTTAAAATCAGTATTATACCCAAAACAAACATTTATGACAAATTGTGCTTGCCCCAACACTTGAAGATCTTGTTTGTTAAGTAAAATGATTTGAGCTTTTTGTTTTGCAGCTGTTGCATCCAGATGTAAGAAGACAATACTTGTTAAAAGTTCAGGATTTTATGAATGTAGACAACAGTAGAAACTGGAGATTCAGATTGGAACTGGCTGAGTAAGCACTTAACTATCTACTGAACAGTTGTTTGAAGAAGAAGGGAAAAAAATGCTGTAAAACCAAAGAAAACGCTGTAAAACCCTAGATAAGCCAAAATCATTCTTCCTGTTTAGGCGCCACATGACCTAAACTGTGTTGTTGCGCCATAAAACCAAACAAAAACTTGTTTGATAATTATGATGAAATATATGATTTTTGACAATTTATAGTTGTTTGAGAATACGTCTGAATTTGTGATAAATTTCTTTACTTTATATGACAGCTTTAATGCCAGTAATATCTAATTTTAAATATACAATTTGATTTGATTTTCCAAATCGTGCTCAAAAAGTGTCATTTTCTACTTTGAACTATTTTGGACAGTGATCTTTCATTGCTCTATAATGGTCATTATGTCATTATTTGATAAACTTTTTTTTATAGGCAACTGGTATTGATATCGGAGTTATATTCAGCCTCAGAAGTCAGTGATTATCTTTTACCTATGGGGCTTGCTCTTGCAGAAGACAAGGTGTCGGAAGTCAGGGCTGATGCATATCATTTAGTAAGTACAGGCCTGTCTTCTGTAAAAGATCCCAACAGTTGAAGATAATTGAACAGAACACCTTAAACTTGCATTGTAATTTGTAGAAGATTCCTCAAAAATGTTTCAGAGGAACATGTATGGCCAATGTATGTCATTCAGCTAGATGAGGCTAGATTATCAATATACAAGATTGTTACGTTATGATATTTAGTACTTCCTGTTAATGTGTTATAATTGATTGGTTCCTTTGCAGTGGATACACAGTGTTGAATACGTAAAGTGATAGCCCCTGACACTAAAATTATTCCCCTTGGGTAAAAGTTTTCAACAGTAACAACCCGACCGGCACTGATTTTCAGGACTATCCTGGAATTGAGTTTATTTGGCCTTTTGTCTCTCAAACTGATTTTGAAATCATGGGGGATAAGTAAAAAATTCCCCTTTGGGGGAAGAAGTTTGTTAAAATTACTGGTGGGTTTGACCCCCAGGAAAAGCCTGTTAGGGGGGAGTTTTCGACTAAAAACGTGAAATAAAAAAAAGGGTTAAAACGAAAATGTGCGGAGGTTTTGGTCTAAACGGGGAAATAAAAATTATAAGGGAAATTTTTTAAATATTTTCTAGAAACGGTTTGGGCGGAAATTTTAAAATCTTCCAGTCAGATTTCACTAAGTTTCAGTTTTTTTGGGTTTGGAAGTTGATGTATTTTGTAGGTAAGTGTGATGTTGAAGAGAATTGTAGAATGTGGAGATGGGAAACTAGTCCAGTACCTTGTCAATCAACTTATAGCTAGATTTGCCCGAGATCAAAAATGGGCGCGTAGACAAATGTAAGTAAACTTTGAATGTAACTGCTCATTCCTAGAAAAATAAGTATGTATTGAAAAGAAGATGGTATTTTTTCATGGAGAATGTTTTCAATATGCAGTAGTTTAAACCATGATCTTTTGAAATAGATACTGGCTACAAAACTGTAGCATAACTTGACAAGTTGCGCAGTCTGGGGTTCTTAGTTGGACTATATAACATCATTTCTAAAATTTAGATAGTAATATTGATATATTATTTCGTTAAGGGGGGCAGCTATACACATGGGTTTCTAGAAGCGATATTTGTAAGACAAGTTGATGCAACGTCTCTTCAAATTTACACAATACTGAATATTTTTTTATGTTAAATAGGAAAATAGTTCAGTTAAAAGCTTTACTTCTACAACGTTTATATCAATATATATGATTTTGACATATTTACAGGTAGTCAAGTTCTTTCATTGTGTAAAACCTATTGTTTGTGAATTATTTACCAATATGTGTTAATTTTGTCTTTTGTAGATTTACCCAGTTGTGTCAAGCAATAGTACGAGAACAGGCTGTAGATGCTGTTCAATTTGCCAAAGATTTCCTCCCTAGTCTACTTAATATGGTCAATGATAGTGTTCCTAATGTACGCATAACTCTTGCCAAGTCGTTGACCTGCTATATGATGAATGAAGGTATGCTCTTTCTTCCTTCTGTATATTTCTGTAGGTTTTATGGTTATTTTAACCGTCATTTTACATTGTTGTGTTTGTATTTTGCCATCTCTGTAATCAAAAAATAATAATGAGAAATATCACGTTGATTCATATTCTATGTATATTATATTGTATATATTTACTGAACTTATGTTAAAATTGAAATGTTCTTTTTTAATTTGACAAACTTTTACAAAGCAGGCTTCGCGAAACTGCTGAAAAATTTGCCTGACATTCGGTCAGACAAACTTTCAATTCTTGTCTGACCGAAAGAACTTTTGTCTGACCGAATTTTTTTTCCCAAATATATGTATATGGTATACTGTGCTCCTCTTAGTTCACGATACTTAACACTTTAAAACAGTAAAGAAGGCAAACAATAATCTTACACGACAAAAACTTTCATAAACTGTATCATTTAGTCATTTTTCTGCTATATGACACAAGGAAACAACAATATATTCAATCAAAGTAAGTTTTAATTTGTCAGATGTAGACTGTGTGTCGGCCATTTTGAAAACAGTATGTCATCATTTAACTCGCGGTAATGGTAATACCTTTGTGTTGTTTTTTTTAAAGACAAAACAACTTTTAAAGATTTGCAACACAATTTTATTCCCTTAAATAAAACATTAGTTTATACAGATTGATGCACTCTGTCTGGAAATCAAAACATTCATGATCACAGGCTTCGCGAAACTGCTGAAAAATTTGCCTGACATTCGGTCAGACAAACTTTCAATTCTTGTCTGACCGAAAGAACTTTTGTCTGACCGAATTTTTCCCCCGAATATATGTATATGGTAATACCTTGGTGTTTTTTTTAAAGACATAATAACTTTTAAAGATTTGTAACACAATTTTATTCCCTTAAATAAAACATTAGTTTATCCTGATTGATGGACTCACAGGCGCTAGTCACATATATTCAAATATTTTACATAACCAGTCTATATATGTATATAAAGATATATAGTATATAGCCCATATAAAACTTAAAATAGTTTGTTTCAAGCAACTGTGGATGGACTCTGTTTGGAAATCAAAACATTCATGATCAAAGCGGCCATTTTTCCATTTACCCACAAATTTTCTCGGCGGGCGCCTGGACTCGTTTTCCTTTTGTTTCGCTTTTTTTTTCTTCATTGGATAGTTTACGATTTTTGCCGGGCGTAGCGCCAGCGTAATGATGTAGTAACACCGACATTTTGGTTATTGACAGTCGTATGTATCGGACACTTATAATGAAACGGCGAATCAAAACTCGTTTTACATTTTTTTTATTCAAGGGAGAAAACTCGGTCTTGATCGGTCTTGGATATATCCCGGTATTCGTACCGGACATAAGGTCCGGAACTCCGAAAAAAAATATCGGACCGGCCTGATTTTTGCCGGACATGTCCGACGGTCCGGCAACTTTCGCGAAGCCTGTGATCAAAGTGGCCATTTGTCCATTTACCCACAAATTTTCTCGGCGGGCGCCTGGACTCGTATTCCTTTTGTTTCGCTTTTTTTTTCTTCATTGGATAGTTTACGATTTTTGCCGGGCGTAGCGCCAGCGTAATAATGTAGTAACACTGACATTTTGGTTATTGACATTCGTATGTATCTAGAATTTGATTGGACACTTATAATGAAACGGCGAATCAAAACTAGTTTTACATTTTTTTTTATTCAAGGGAGAAAACTCGGTCTTGATCAGTCTTGGATATATCCTGGTATTCGTACCGGACATAAGGTCCGGAACTCCGAAAAAAATATCGGACCGGCCTGATTTTTGCCGGACATGTCCGACGGTCCGGCAACTTTCGCGAAGCCTGACAAAGCCTATAATTAAATGGACGTTGCGTCATTTGATGTTTTATAAACATCAATTTGTTCTAAAGCAGACTTGACAAAACAGATGTCTGCTGTGGGGATACAACAGTTAACCATACTAGACCAGAATGTAAGTTTTCAGTACAAACATTGATTTTACTTGCAGATTACAGTCACTTCAGTGGACACCCGTGCCCGGAGGAATTAGAAGAGGCTTTCAAGAAATTACAGTCCGATACGGATCGAGATGTACGATACTATTGTTCTGTAGAGGCCTACCAAGAAACCAGGCCAGAAAGTGTAGAAGATGAAGGCAGTATAGATGAATATTTGGTATGATTTATGTGTCTTTTTCATCATTATTAGTCAGTTGAGCTCTGTGCATTTAATCGTTATAGGTAACCTTCACTATAATGTTTCCTATAGTTTCGAAATTTGACATTTTCTTTGATCGTATATTTATACTTAATTGATAACTATGGTAACTCTTGTATATCAATTATGGTAACTCTTGTACAAGTCATTGCTTGAATTCTTTCCTTTTGATAAGACTATTTATTCTGTAGCTAACCAGAAATATAAGATTTTGGTATATACAAAACATGTTTTGGATACTTTGTATTGAAATAACGAAGTTTTGCTTGTTTGTTTCAGGGTGTATAACATATCGGAGATGATTTTAAAATAGTTGTTGATTATTTATGGTAAGGCTACAATCAAAATGGGACAGAATGAAATAGAAATAGTTACAATAATGTATGAACATATTTTAACAACTTTGATTTACCAAGATCGTGTATTATGATTATCCACGATTGGCGGGGAGAAAAAATTCATATCAAACTTCAAAACATGATGAACCAGAAGTGGATATATAATGGAATGGAAGTGAAAGTATGAAAAGAAGGGAATATTGAGCCAAAATATGAAACGGATGTGATTGTCTTTCTGTGAACTCTTAGTCTTTCTTAGATAGCAATTATTAAATGAAATGTTTTTAATAAGAGGTAACTTGTGGCTGAGCCATTGTAAAACATTATATTAAATCATATTGATTGTTGAAATTCGATTTTAAAAAGGTCAGTTTTGTTTAAGAATGATGGGCACTTGGTGCAGAGCAGGTGGAAATCTTTTTTATGAAATAATTAAGCTATAACTGATTCTCACCAAGGTAAATTCTACAAATGAGGTATATATGTATTCTATTCGGTTACCTGTTTTATGCAAATATTATGCAAATTATATCTTTTATTATGTGCCTATGTGATAAATGGATAAAGTTTCAACAGTTCAATTTTAGAGCAAGAAGTTCAAACAAAATGTATATTTGATTGTAAATCTTTTATCCATAAACAAAGGAAAGGGGATGTAAATATATTTGAATCCTTTGATAAGTAAGTATTTAATTCTTGCAATTTGTCACACAAATTGAAGGTTTTGCATAATTTAAAAACCATATGATATTTTAAGAACATATTCTCAAGGTTCTGTAATTGAAACCTTGACAGTAAATCTTATTGTCACTTAAATGGATATTGATTCAGTAAATGAATTGTTAAAGAAATCCCTTTTGTCCTTGGAAATGTTATATTATCATTCTGTAAAATCTTCTCTTTTTCTCGGTTGAAAATTTCACAAAGATCAACACTCAAATAAATCTATGTTCGCTACGAGATAACTAGTGTAGTTCAAGCTGTTGATTTAGTGGAATTTAGCCATGTGAAAATGTTTGGTTTTACAGTAGTCAAATACTCAAATTATTGTGTGATTTTACTATTTCTTAAGCTGCTTTTATATCAGATCATATTAAAATTACTTGTATATGAAAAGAAATTCTAGCAAATATTTAAATGTAAAGATTTGCCTAGAGTAATATCTATGTATGTACACCTCAAAGTCCAGGTCAAGTCGGCAATCTAAGCAACTTGAGACTGTTTCTATGACAAAAAAAGTTTTTTATGATTGTAAATTTAGGTTTTACTTACAAATTTATAATGGTATTAAATGAACTGTTGATCTGCAGTCTGGCCGGTGGCCCATGGCCAGTGAAAATTATTTTGGGCTAGAGAAATTTTTTTAGAAAATTAAGTTAAATATATAGTAGAATAAATTCAAAACTGGAATTCGGCCTAGTAAATTCAAAATCTTAAATTCATTGACTGGATCTGAATTACAAATGATTGCCCTGTGACAAAAATATGTCATTCTCTACTGCAGGATTATTGGGCCATATGTACTTGATACTTAGCACTTAATTTATTCAAGTGTTGAATAGTGTAATACCATGACAAGTTACATAAGAGTGCATATGAACCTTTTATGAAGTTAAAGATCTTTTACAGTTTTGTAAATGGTCTGAACCTATCTGCATATATATATATGGTTAAAAATGCTGAACCGATCTGTTAATTATTCTGTAATAAATATATCTGTAATAATTATTCAAATGTTAACTCTCTGTGATATTGTAAGATTTATAATATAAATATAAAAATAAGTATGAAAGGTTTAATTTACAGGTGTAATTTGGTGCTTTAATATTAATATATGACATGTTGTGTATATGATTTGAATGATTCTGTACTGAGTAAATGTTGGTATTTTTTCCCTGGATTTTTTTGGACTACTGAAACAAAAACAAAACAGTGAAAGTCCTCATTCACATGTAAAAATATTAAATTTTTGGATTATTTCATTTTCAACTTTTAACATATCTTAATCTTTATACTTTGATCTGAAAATGAAAGTTTGAAGAGGGTATTCTTTAGAGGTTTTGCTTTATTGGGGCGTTAATTTGGCTGACAAGAAAGTTAATATACCAGGATAAGAAAACGTATTTGTAAATTCAGTATTTTTATTTCAGGTCTATTTCTGCATGATTGATATTTGTTTTTTAAAGGGGTTAAAGTAAACTAAAAAACAAAAAGGGAAAAGTTTCTGTTTTGAAATTAAACTGCCCTTTCCCAACTTCTTTTCCCAACAATGTGGAAAAACCTACAGTATTTAAATTAAAATTTTAAAAAAACTAATGTATATGTTTCACTCCAGTACTGGATGACAGTTTGAGATGTATAAGTATTTTACAAGAGGCTGGATAATGATTAGGCCCTTTATTTTGTAGAGTTAACCAGTTTTAATAGAATTCAATGTTTCTAATATTTTGACATGTATAAAAAGGGGTGTGTAGAAGTTCCATATTTCCAAATTTTCTTATTCAAATTTATATGTGTTTTGATGCAATACATGTTATATTAATTTTCCTGAGAAGTGGTTAGTATAGACAGTTCAACTAGACATTATACATTAAGTCATGTGTGTTTATTTTTCTCGTGTTTACATTGAAACAAATGCTCAAAAATACATTTTTATAGAGATTTTTCTTAGGAAGGGACCATAGAATTGTCTTGAAGTTTTTTTGCTAGATATATGTTGCTTTCAGTGTACTAATAAACACACTAATACCTCAGAATGAAAGCTTCAAGAAAAAGAAGAGTCTAAAGGGGGGGGGGTAATATTTTCATCTCCCAGTTGCGAGAATGTAAGACAAGTCTTGATTAAATGATAGAATTATTACCGGTTAGGTATTTATTGATAATTTGAAGTATAGGTTGGTCGTACCGAATTTTGTTTGTCTATATAATTGCTAAAAGAAATTATTTTGGTCAATGTATGATGAAATTACGGTTTAATTTTATTAAAAAGAAATTTTGTTAGAATTTTATGTTCAAAAAAAAAGTTTTGTATACATTGCACTTAGTAGTAAACAGTAAACTCTCGTCTGGATTTTGTATGAGCAGTTGAAAAACCTAGTTCATGTGTCCGAAAAAAAATGTAAAGCTAAGAATAAGGATCAAACAATCCTGATTTTTTTGTCATCAATGTTAAGTGTTTAAATTGAAATTTATGTTGGGATATTGATTTAGTGGAACAAAAACTTTATTTATTTATTTTTAAAGAATGAAATTTATAAGCAAATAATTTTCAATAGATATGTATTGGAATTTTGTAGTTTTAAAATAAGATATTTGAATGTTATTGAAAGATTTAAATGATTAGAGCCAATGTTTTCTACTATTCGGCAACAGTTGACTGATGAGAGATTCTACTGTTTCTTAAATGTTATTTGCTTTTATTTTCGAGTATTCAGACTAACAAGTTGAAGGATACAATTGGGTAACATGCTGGCCAAAATTAAAATTTGAACGTTTTAAATATAAAAAATTAGTAACAAGAATTATATCTGCAAATAATTTGATTTTGTTTTTCAAGATATATCACTGGGATTTTAATTGGCCTGTTTAGTAGTAGACAATAATTTCATACTTTGCTAAAAGTTGTTGAAATTCCATATATTCTTAAAAACTAATAATTTGTTCGGTTTAAAACATGTTTAATAGAAGGGTGTTTTTATAAGCTTTATTAACCACAATTTTCCTGTGCTTTCAAACTTGTTTTGCGTGCCACTGTGTGTTTATCCAGATTTTATTGTTGGACAATTTTATTTTTAGACTGGCATTAGATCCAGATATTTATATTTTATTTAATTTGTTTGCAAATGCATCCTTGTGTATTAATTATAATAATGAAAATATCCTTAACCAATGGAAGTTTTTATAAAAGTAAGACCACAAGTGTATGGTCGGTCAGTATGAAATAATAAAGTAAGAATGAAAATATACATTTAGTTAGTTGTTTATTGAAAATGAGCATTTGGCTTATTGTGGCCAAATTATTAACGTTGCTGAGTTTGAGTCGACTGTTTGGGACTGCTGTCTGAGTTAGAATTATTTCCTTTACCAACGGTCGTGTTATACTGGGTGCTGGAATTAATATGTTCAGACTTTGCGACCTTGCCTTGACGTGGTGGGGATGTATTTTCAAGCTGACCCCCTTTACCGTCCGTTTTCCGTCGGGGGGGGGGGGGGGGGGGGGGGGAGGCATCCACACCAAAGGCATCTAGTTTCATGGATTAAACCACCATCACTGGTACTTAAGATTGGTTGGCAGTGGAACAAATTCGGTGTGATGTTAGCAAGTCCAGACTTCTGCATAGAATGTCGGGCAAAAACGGCCAAGATTGAAAAGTTAAGATCGTAAATTTGATAATCAAGTCGTCCGAATATGGCCCGTACATTTGTGAGTGGATGGAAACCGACTAGAATAGTCACTTGTCACATTTCAAATATGAAGCTAGGGGCCATACAAAAAATAGTGTATCACATACCACATATACAACTACGCCAAACCATAGAACAACACATTTGATAAATATTACATTTCACATCACAAAGTTTCGATAATCTTGACGTTTATATAGACTTCTGTAAATTTATGGGTTTTCCCCTCAAATTAAGAAGTTGCTGTATTATAAATTATTTTGTTATCCTTTAATTTACATCACATTTCATTTCTAACTAATTTATCAAATTACACTACATGCGTCTTTAGCGCTTTGACTTCAAACCACTTTCCTGTCACCGCTTATGGTTCGAATGAACCTCAGGGACTTTCTATTTGGATTCGTTCATTGGTGAAAGATATCCAGCTAGCTAACGGAACGTCGGTGGTTCAAGTCAGGTTCTCGTTAGTGCCTTTAAATAATGCACGGAGGGAAACCTGAGTCTTCCTCCAACAGAAAAGCTGGAATGTCGCTATGTGACCTATATTGTGTTGATGCGGCATACAAACCTACCAAACATCAAAATAAGCACCAAGTTTAGGATCATC